TTCCTCTACATAATGTGGGTGCTTCCAACAATAGAGGTTTCCAATAAGAGATTGGATAACCATTGGTCTGGAATGGTATAGGGTCTCCTGCTTAAGCATGGGGTTGGATTAGAAGACCTCTAAGGTCCCTTCCAACTTCGTTATTCTCTATTCTATACCTGAAAACCATTGTTTTTCAAAAATAATTTGCAATTACTTTCTCTGGTTTGTGAAATCACTGCTAACTATTACTATTTAACACTTCTAAAGATTAAAAATAATAAACTATGCAGGACACCTTAGATTGCACATTGCTATTCTTGGGACGAAATATGCAGCAATGGTCCATCTTTATCTCAATGCAGTTTTAAAAGTTTGCTCCAGTTGTATAATTTAAACAAAAATGAGAAAATAAATCCAGGATGATAGTTTTCTAGCAAGAGTATTATTGGCAGACTGCTGTTCAGAACAATTTGGGTCCTCATTTACCAACCTCAGAAGGATGGAAGGTTGAATCCATTAGTTCAGAACCAAAAATGGGAATAATTACTCAAAATTGACCCTATTTCCTCCAAGTGTCACCTTTCTCGTGCTTTCTCAAGCTAACATTATAGATTCTTCAAATATGAAACACTCTGGGTTTCATCAAAAATAAAAAAGAGAAGGAATCACAGTGAGTGACCTCAAGAAGGATATGAAGATTTATCCTCTATCATTGAGTGCCAGAATCTATTAGTTGTATTGATTTTAGATACACCATATTTGATGATACCAGGATGCACACAATGATAGAATCAAGTTAATTCCATTCATCATCGTTTTACATTGAAGTAAATGACTGTGTCATGTCAAAGGACAGTCTCATGTTTAGTATAGCCTAAAAAGCAAAGAGATAAAGCTTCTCTAGTAATGCAACAGTACATACTCTCTGATTATGGGGTTTAGATGTTGGGATTATAGATGCAGTGTGTAACTAACTTATTTTATGTGCTGAAAAGGGCAGGTAGATTTATCAGTTGATCTGAGTGCTTAGAAGTGCAGCTTGTATCATGGAAGAATCACTTGATCTACATTATAGGGCATTTTACCTATTTCATAGAGATTTGATAGAATCCTACAGATTTCTTTTTCCTGACCACTGAAAGCTGTCATTTGAGAATAGAAGTTTGAAGCACTTGTGGATAATCTCTGACTATCAAATGAGGGGAATGGGTGGGGAGGAGTATCAGATGTGAATTTCAAGGAGCTTTGCTTTTATACAGCTCTTATCTGTCTGTGCTTGTTTGGCAGGCTTCTCCATGCCATGCTAGTAAAGCTATTAGGAAGAATAGAAGTGGGAAAAAAGACATAGGCAGAATCATTTTTGGCTTGAGTTATTTTCAGCACTTCTCACTCTATAGCCATGATATGTTGATTTTTTTCCCTATTTCTTGTCTGTAGGCACTGAACTGTTACATGGCTCTTTTAGTTAGAATAATTTCAATCATTATTTAAATTTAATATGTTTCAGGAGGAGTGGAATTACTAGGTTTAATGTTGTATACTGCCCACAGTTTTGTGGACTTGAGCAGCCTTTTAAAATTTATTAATAAATAGATAACACTGCAGGCAGTGAACCTTAGTACATAGGGCAGGATTTAATTTTTCCTTAGTTTTGAGAACAAGGTTTAAGTCTTTTGTGTGTAAGAGAGGATGTTTTAAGTTAAAAAAAAGTTGTGCCTAAAATGATGGAAAACTCTGTAACCTAGTTTTTGTTAATAGTTGGGAGAGATTTTTCTGTGACGCTTCAAACTGAGATTTGAGGACATATCAAACTATATTTTCATGTGATTTCCCTTCCTGCTTTAAATAGGTTAACTACTTGCTAACTCTTCTCCCTCTAGTCAGTTCAAGTATTTAATTCTACTTCTCCATATAGAACAATGAAAGATGCTCATTCAGAAAACCTTTTAAAGGAATTATTTAAACAAGGATCAAACTCTGTTCTGTTCAATGGGTTGTCATAGAAAAGTCAAGGAAACAAAACTTTGCAGACTAAACTTGAACTTCCAGACTAAGAGAGCACACATTAACAAAAGATATTGTAAAGTTGGAGAAAAAAACATCCAGTGTTTATTTCGTCAGGCAATGGAGAACAAAAGCATCATGATTTAACTTATGAGTAGGGCCATGGAGGAAATGACAGCGATTGAGGGATAAATGGTGCAGTGCTTTGAGGAATATCAGAACAATACAAGAGGGGAAAAAAGCAAAGCAAGGGACTATAATAAAGAGAAGGCATAAGACATCTTTTACTTGAAAGCACCAATAAAAATGCTGTACTTCAGTAAAGAAACCCACAATAAAGGAGCCAAAAGTGAGGAAATACAGAGTAGATTATCACTTTGTAGAGTAGCCATGAAACTATTGGAAAAGATATTCAAACAGCAGGATGGATTGATACTATATAACAGGGATATCAAACTCAAGGCCTGCAGGCTGGGTCCACCCCGTGATGTGGTTAGATCTGGCCCACGGAGCCATCCTGGAAACAGCAAAGGACCAGCCCGCAGCGCCTCTACCCAGCCCAGGCCAACTGGGCTCTGATCTATATTCCAGTGGTGGCCATCTGGGCTAGGACACAGTCAACCTTAGATCCGCGGGGCTGTCCTTGAGCCAGCAAGGGGCCACCCCTGCCCTGCCTCCTTAGGCACATGCATGCATGGGGCCTGGTGTCCCTGGGGACCATCTTCTCCAGCAGGCTGACTGCATTCTGAGCACCTCCCTTTCACCCAGGACACCAGTTTATGTGTGCTCACCGCTTCCTATGGGTTCGCAAGGCCCCTCACTCACACCCATGTCCAGTCTGCTGGAGTTTGCCACACCAGGAGGAATGAGACCTCATTGTCCCACTGAGCATGGCTGCATGCAAATGGAGCACTTGGAGCACCTGAGCAACCTGTTCTGACCTAGGCTTCCTTAGAAAGCATAAAACACAATCTTAGTTCTGGCAAAACCTTTTATTTCCACAGCTGTGAATTATGTTCATTCACAGCCTGCAAGGCTTCACAGTCTTTCAGGGAAATGTTTATAAACATTCACCTTACTGCACTTGGAATGCTGCCAGAGAACTAATTGCCAAATGCAGGGCAAGGCCAAACTTGACACAGAGTCAAACAGAACTTTTCAAGGCTTGAATCAACCAAACAAACTAATTGCTTCCTGCAAAAACTCAAGTCCCATTCGCTCCTCTTTTATGTCCTATGGGAGGGGCCAATCATCTCTGAGTTGTAGCCTTACTCCTGAGTCAATCCTGCTTTCTCAGTTGTTCTTGTCTTCTGGTAGCCCTGTGCATGTGCAGCTTGTGAATCGGTTCCAGAAATTCCTCCACCTCACTGCTGTCTGAATCTGAAGGCAGCTGATGACTGCCAGCCTGCCCTGGCCCCACCTACCCTGATGCAGAGCCCTCATCCGTGCCTTCCTCAGCCTCCAAGACTGGCCCAGGTTCCTCCCCAACCTCCTCACTACTGTTCGACTCTGCTGCCAGCTCTGTCAGCCACTGGTGGGCCAACACAACCATGATCCCCCCTCCCCAATCAGCCAGCCCCACCTGACCTACTCCTTGTCAAGACAGTCAGCTGGCACAAAGCCTCACCATTGTCCTCCTCCTCCTCCTCCCCGCTTAAGCAGTGGCAGACTCTGTGGGTCAACAGGGTTTCTCATTTCTCCCTTAGCATGGTGAGATCTGGCAGGCTGTATGCAGGTGTGAGGGGCCTGGCTCCATGCTCAGTTGAAGGCTTTGTTCCTGCCTTCAAATAGTAAGGCTGGCACACACAAGTGAGCAGCGCACCTAGGGCAAGGACAACATTGGTTCCTTCCTGTTATGTCTGGAGCGTGGGCGCAAGGAACGGAGACGAGGCATCGGGTAGTGACTTAACTCTTTATTAGTGACTTCAGAACAGAGCAAAATACTTGGGCAGCAGCAGCCCTTTTATAGG